GCCACAGGGAGAACAGTTAGAAGGCTATTTTAGTCAGCCATGGTGGTTCACACTTGTAATCTTCCTGCTGTGGGGAAGGCCAAGGATGGTAGATGGCTTAAGCTCAGGAGTTCTGAGCTTCAGTGGTTGAGTGCCTGCACCAATATCGTGAGGGGGAGGGGGAGGGAAAGGAAAAGACTGATGATGACCAACCTGGCTGTTTTTGGTAGATGAACCACCCACATCAGAAATGGAGCAGGTCAAAGTCTCCATTGATGATTAGTGGTGGGACTGGACCCATACGAGGAAGGAAGGGAAGGCTGTTGCAATGGTCCAGGTGTGAGGTGATGAGAGCCTGAATGAAGTAGAATAGTGGCTGTATGAGTGGAGGGGATTTAAATGAGAAATGTTGTAAAGATTAAAATGGCAACATTTTGGCAGCTGAAAGGATATGTGGGGTGAGAGTGAGGAGCTGAGGATGACAGGAAGGTTGTGAATCTGGGTGACTGAGTAGTCTTGGGGTTTTGTTAATTCTTCCTTGGAAAATCCCTCCTTTCTTTGAATACCTATGTGAAAGGCTTCCTGCTACCCTCTGTGTGGATATAGACTTATAAACCTGATTGATGCCTGCCTTCCAGGAGCTTCTGAGCAAATATAGAGATAAGGCACACCAATAAATTGAAAACAAGGTGATGAATAAACACCATGAGTGGTCCAGAACATAAATGTTATCAGACATCAAAGAAGGGAGAAAACCATTATGGCTAAGATAACTGAGGGAGGGGAAATTGAAGGGCAAATACTACTGTGACTTGGCTCTTGAAGAACAGGGTAAGATTTTCTAAGGTAGAGAAGGTGGAAGAAATAACATGAAACAAGGCACAGAAGCCAAAAAGCACAACAAATGCTTGGGGAATGGTTAGTAGACAAGTTTGGTTGGAATAAAGAGTTCATTTGGGGGAGGAGTAAGAAGAAATGGGACCAGACCATGGAGGGCCCTGGAATGCCATGCTATCTCAACCAAATGAGTGGATTATCTGTTACCCATCCATCACCTGTGTGCGTTTGCAAGGTGGTCCCCCAAGTCTGCAATGTCCTCCTTTCTCATCTTAGCCTCTTAAAATTCCTACCTTTCTACAAAGCACAGCTCACATCCCATAGCCCATAGGAGGCCTCTCCTGATCCCTCCCCTTCAGCTGTTATGCTGGTAATGCTTTTTCTTGGAATATTTTTGCATGTACTTATTCTCTGGATATTATATCCCTTTCCCATAAGTAGAAGGTAAGCTGCTTGAAAGCAGTAGCTGCTTTGTTTTTGTTTCTGCATCACCAGTACCTGGCACAATAAGCACTTAAATATTTGTTGTATTAAATTTATTCTACATGCAATGGGGGAACCACTGAAGGTTCAAACAAAAGATGATGAAAGATTTTTAAAAAGATTAATTTGGAGGTGGAGTATAGGACGGCTCTCAAGCTTTTTTTCTTTTTTAGTGATGCAACTGAGGTTAAGTGACTTGCCCATGGTCACACAGCTAGGAAATATTATATGTCAGAGGCCGCATTTGAACTCAGGTCGTCCTGACTCAAGGGCTGGTGCTCCATCCACTTCACCACCTCGCTGCCTCCCTCAAGCCTTTTTTCATTGGGACACTAGTGAAGATTTGATAATTTGATATAAAGAAAAAAATAATGAAAAGGCTGTGGGTTATTTAAAAACACCAAAAAGCCCCATAAACAACCAAAATACAATCAAGGTACTGGGGATATAAAGAAAAGTTCCTGCCCTTAAGGAGCTTACATTCGCATGGTCTTATCAAAAAAATCAGGATTTGAATTCCAAGTTGTGTACTTTCCTTCCTCTCTCTGGGATTTTCTCCAATTTATTCTGTGTATATTTTGCTTGTATTCAGTTATTTACGTGTTGTATCCCCACTAGCCTGTGAGCTCCTAAGTAGCAGGGACTGTTATTTGCCTTTTGCATCCCCAGCTTAGTACAATGAAGGTACCCTCCTCAGGGCAATAAAAGTCAGCAGATCAGCTTACTGGTAGCTTTTTATGTAAATTTCTAAAGTCTAAACATATTTAAGGCCTTCCTCTCACAATCCAGCCCAGATTGAACAGAATTTTATCTTAACTACTCTCCCCCTCCAAAACCAACTCTAGATTTGGGTCAGGCTAATGTTCTCATTCTATACCTCTAAGCTTTTGTTCATTCACCTAACTTGAAAATATCATAATGAAATCTTCCAAAGGAGGAGGTGAGCTCCCAGAGGACAGGGACAGTCATAACTTTTATTTGTACCCCAGCATTTAGCAGACTGCTGGTAAACCCTCCTCAAAAGCTTTCTCATTCATTCATCTTACAAGGATGGGCTCAAGATCAACTGACACGACAACATGCCGGTGTTAAACTGGAAAAGTCTTTAAGCCCAAAGTGCTTTTGCTCTTCTGTAGTTTTGGAGTACCTTACTGTTATAATCTCACAATTTAATATAATTATTAAGTCTAGTAGTTTCTGTTGTGTCTGTGTCCCACTCTTCACGCCACCTTTTCGGGTTTTCTTGGCAAAGATACTGGTGTGGTTTGACATTTACTTTTCCAGCTTATTTTACAGATGAAGTAACTGGGGCAAACAGGGTTAAGTGACATGCCCAAGGTCACACAGCTAGTTTAGTGCCTAAGGTAGATTTGAACTCAGGGAGATGTGTCTTCCTGACTTCAGGCCCAAGAGTATATCCACTGTGCCACCTAGCAGCCCTGATAATTATTATCCTCGTGTATTAGTCTCTAATTGGCTTATTTATGATGTCCCCCAAAAGATTAAGCTCATGGATAGTGACTTCATCTCATTGCAAGAAATCTGGAGGAAACTGCAGACATCTACAGATTATAATAAAGGCTTACATTTGGAAACTCTCGTTTCTAAAGCTTGTTGCTCACTAGAACATTGTGAGGTATCATCCCCATTTCACATATATGGAAACTGAAACTCAGAGAGGTTGGATGAGGAGTACAAGGTCACAGAGAAGTGAGAGAGTTGGATGCTAAAGCCCAGAACCGGACAATAAATGCAGAGCATTTCCTACAAACCCAGCCTGCTTACAACATGGTTGCAAAGGCACTGTCAAAGACAAGGGCCAACCAGGATTAATTTAACAAAGGGAACTTTGTTTAGAACAAAGAAAAGCGTGTAAATATATGGTCCCACAATTAACAATAACGGCGCTAGTTTGACAGGATTTAGCTGAATAGGCTAACTTTTAGGGGTTTGGTAATTTAAAGTGTTTTACTAAAATATGAAAACTAGGCGCTATTATTCAAGCCATATTTTTAGTACACCAAATTTACCTTTATCAATTTCATTTTATGATCTAGTCCTTATTCAAACTTCTTCTCAAACACCTTTTCAACATTCACAAATTTGAGGGTCAGAAATAAGCAAATAGCACATCCTCTCTGTTAAGGCCTCCCCCTCCGAAGAGTAAAGGTTAAGCTCTGGATCACAGCTAAGGAGTGATCTGCAGTCTCAACTATCAACCACGAGCATTCCTTAAACTTCCTAAACTCCTACTACGTGCCAAGTACTGTGCAAACACTGGGGATTTTTTTTTTAAATCTCAAAATGACAACACTCCCTTTAACCAAGGAGCTTACCTTTACTAGAATGCTATTGGGAAAAGTAGGCTGTTTAATTTGTTAGACATTTGGCGTCTCATCACACACAGACTGGTGAAATTTTCAAACTCAAAACCTTTAAGGGACAAACTCCTCCCTCCAGAAGCTTGTCTACTATGTTATTTAGCAGGGGATCAGAGGGGCCTTACAACCCTGCCTAATTCTCTAGGAAGATTTCTATCTAAAGGAGTCATGTGCCAGTCTCCAGTCCAAGTATCAGAAAGCAAACGTGAGTGGACAAGGCAAGACAAAGTTTAGGGGGGGCCGAAAGCTCCGTCAGGGCCAGCCCCAGGAAAGAAAGGGTAACACAGCGGGCTGGCCCATGGGAAGCGCCCAAGCAGGGCTCGGGGATGGCGCTCCGGCCGGGGAGGCCCCCCGGGGACCCCCAGAACTAGTGTCGCCTCCTTTCTCTCTCTCCATCCCTCCCCCAAAGCCGGAGCCTGCTCCCGGAGCCCACGTGGCTCCCTGCCCCAGCTTGCCCACGCCCTGCCACACGCCGACTCTCCGGAGCCCAGACCTCCTCCTCCTCCTCCTCCTCCCCGGGCCTGCTCTGTCTCGGCCCCTTTTCCTCTCCGGCCGGCTCGGCCCTCGTCGGCTTCCGTCCTCAGGCCCACCCCAACTGTCGCCTGCATCCCTCCTCGCCGGCGCCAGAGGCGGCGGCTGCTCCCTCCCCGCAGCTTGCAGTGCGGATGTACCTGCCGCCACCTCGGCCGCCAGGCCGTCCTGCTGCCCGACCACATAGTCCTGGACGAGGCCACCCAGGGCGCCCGCCGGAGCCAGCGCCTCCTCAGCGGCCGCGGCCATGATCGGAAATTGGGAGGGGGAGGAGGGGTAAGAGACAGGAGGAGGCAGCCCCGCGGCAACGCCGGGGCAGCCTCGCGCAGGCGCACTCCGACCAATCACGTGGCGAGGAACCGGGAGAGGGAGGGTTGCCCAGGTCACGTGTTTGCCCTCTTCCCGGCCGGACTGTCCCAGGGAGAAAGAGAACGGCTTTGTGTCAGAGGGAAAGGGTCAATAGCCCGGGGATTCAGCTGCTTCGTAGGGTGGGCAGGACGGCACACCACCCTCGACCACTAATAGAGCAGACTATCGGAGAGACCCAGGCGGTGGAGCGGGTACCTGGCTGGGTGGGGCCCGGGTGGGACGCCCCCTCGGGGGAACCCAATGAGAGAGCCGGACCCTGGCCGGGGGGGGCGGTGCCGACGGTCACATGCTCACCTGGGTCGGGGGCGGAGCCAAAGCCGGGCCGGGCTAGGCCGGGGCGGGGCTTGGCAGGTGAGTGACAGTGTCCGGGGCTGGACTCCAATGGGAGCCCGGAGCTAGGTCGGAGTGGCCTCGGCCGCGGTGCCCGCCCCTCTCCTCTCTCCGCGTCCTCTTCTCCCGGGCGGTCCCGGCCGCAGCTCTGCTCTGGCCCTACCACCTGGGGCGGGCTCTTGAGCGCTGGGGGAGCCGCCCTCCCGCCCGCTCTCCCGCAAAGTTTGTGGCGGAGCCGGCGGCTGGGGCTGAGCGCGCCCCGGGGAGCGAGGGGGGCAACAACCGATGCCGAACGGCAGGAGCAGTTGAGTCCGGAGTGGCCCGGGACCCGCCTCGGGGCGTCGGAGGAGCAGCCAGCCCGTCGCCGCCGGTGCATGGGGCCGGGCTGAGCCGCGGCCATGGGCAACTGCGTGGGGCGACAGCGCCGAGAGAGGCCGGCTGCGCCGGGACACCCCCGCAAGCGAGCAGGTGAGGACCGCGGGTGCTGCCTCACCTGGCTCTGCCCCCCCGCCCGGCTCCGGACCCTGCCCGGGCAAGGTTTAGGGGACGAATCGCGGAGAGAGCCGCCCTGGAGGGGGAGGAGGCGGCGGCCGGTCTGGGCAGCCCGGAGCGAGCGCCGAGCCCGGCTCTGTCCGACTGGGAAGTGGCCAAGGCCGCCGGGGGCCGGGCCAGGAAATGTTCGCGACCGCAGCGGGGCCGGAGCGGCGCGGACCGGGCGCGGAGGGCGGCGGCTCGGGCGGCTCGGCTCCACGGCGCGGACCGGAGAGCCTCCGTTCAGGGGCCGGAGCGGGCTTCTGGGGTCTCGGCCGGAGGGCGCCGCCTCGGAAGCCGCTCGTCCTGGGGAAACCCGGCCCGGAGGGAGGGAGTCGCGAACTCCTTTTTTTTCTTTTGGCTAAACTCCCCCGATTTTGTGGCTGCCCTGGCAAGAGGTGGGGTCTTGCTTGCCTCACTCACAGAGAGTGTCGTGGGGATCTCCCAGAAATCACAGGATCAAATAATGGGAGATCCGCCCAATCCTCTCCTTTTACTGATGGGGAAACTGAGGCCGAAGGGGATTACAGGCCTGTTCAAGTTCATCCTAGAGCTCCTTCTAGAAAGCAGGTCTCACAGTTGCCACATTTTCCTTTATGTGAAAGGGGCTACACAGCCGGGCTTATTAAGGGAGTTTTCTGATACCAAAGGTGGGTCAACCGACCTTACTTTAAGGTGGAATGAAGGTGCCAGTGGGATGGACCTTCCTTCCAGAAAAGTATTTTTATTGGGAAGGTGGTTTGAGAAAGACTTCAGTTTCAAAACTAAAGGGTAGTTTTTCCTCTCCACCGTATTGAAAGTGCACAGTTGTGGGCCACCAAAGCTCTGAACACCACATTCCTTGTTTTCAGCCCCTTGATCTTGGCAGCATCGATGTTGACCAAGCCCACTTGGAAAACTCATTCCTCCCATCGAGTTCTGTTCATTCTGTTTGACCTTTCTTCCTACACCTGGCCCCAAATGTGGGCAAACCCACGATCCCCAAAGGCGTTCAGACTGTTTTTACCTTAAGTACCAAGATAGCCTCCTGTTTTAGGAATTCGGCTCCTTAAACCCCTTGGATTTCCCAAGCCATTCTGCACATCCTCGGGTACAACTGGATCTTGTCCCGTTGCTGCTCACAACCTTTCAGCAGCTGACCATTGCCAGCAGGACCAAGTCCACGTTCCTTAATGTGGTACCCAAGTTGTACTGCTTTGCCTGTCTCATCCACTTCCCATCTAGCCCACAGTGATCTGCTTTGGTAGCCCTCTCTCCCCTCTCCCAGTCTTGTGCTTTTAGCCCGCCTGCTTGCTTTCCTCCTGCTCATTCATGTTCTGCCCATCCACTGTCCTCGTGAAGCCTTCCTGGCTTTTCCACCTCCCAAAGTTAGAAGCAATCTCCTTCCTTCTCTGAGCCTCCTATGCAGTTATTCCCAGTATTGTTGATCTAGTACTTAGTCTTAGTGTCTTGTGTTATCTTTTATTTTGTGTATGTGAAATTTCATCCGATTGACAACCTATTTGAGGTCAGTCATTGGCATTAAGAGAGCTTATATTTCAAGCGTAAAGGGATCTTGGAGTCCATCTAGTCTGACCCCCTTATTTGTGGAAGAGGAAAAACAGGCTCAGGAGGGAGGAACACTCAGGCACTCAAAGAATTGTTCATTTAAATAGTTCTCTCATCCAACAGGCTTTTGTACTTCACATGTAGTTTTACTTCAGCAAATATTAAGTATGCACCATTTGCTCCCTGGAAGCTGGAAGATAGAAGGATAACAATGTGATGGTTCCTGCCATCAGAAAGCTTCCCCTTTTTGGGGGGGGGAGAGGAGAGGGTGGTATTGAGAGGGAGACACAGGGTGTACACAAGTGTAATATAATTTATCTAGCTGGCCAGAGCTGGTACAATAGGTTTTTAGTGGGAGGGTCACAAAGGGGACAATCTTTGCAACATGGTTACAGGGATATATGTGGGGGAGATCCATTTTTTTCCCCTGGGCAAAGTTCTGAAATTATGGTAGATACTTGGCATTCCAGTAACATATCTGAAGCCTCACTCTGTGACACAGTTTAAGTTGTGGCCTGTTCCCTCACATTCAAAGGAGCTCCCCTAGTCTCTCCCTTCCCCATGGCCTTTCTTTACCACTCTCATTCATCCTTGAGATGGATAGAGTCCTTCATGAGAACAATTCCTTAACCTCCCTCCCTTTCATTCCACTGTATGATGTCCTTCCATGCAACAAAAATTACTTTTGACTAAACCCTAGAGTTCTATCCTTATTGCCCTCCCACAAATTTATATCTCCGTCAATGAGGTAGTTAAATGGTATGCCCCCACTTGTTAGAAGGTAATTAATTTGCTTTATTCCATCCTATATGTAGCAGAGCTGAACCTTAAGCACCTGAGACTGATGAAATTGGAGATATGTGTTTGCTTGGAGGATTCCCATTCTATAATTTTACTTGAGACTTTTACTTAACTGGGCCCAAGATGTGAGGAGGCCCCACCCAACACGATGGTTATAAAAGAAGATAATTCTACAGAGGAAGAGTAGTAGGATTAACCTTTCCAAACTCCTCTTCTGTCCTCCTCTATTAACCCTCCTGTGGTGCTTTTATTTATGGGACTATGTCATTCAGCAGCTTAGAAGGACAGCAAGCAGTAACCTAAGGTTTATACTTGGTGCATTGAGAAGCACTTCTGTTGACCCTTTGCTTTGGGGAGTTCTTAAAATAGGAAATCCTGGTTAGAAAGCAGGGGCTTGGAGGCCTCTTGTCAGTATCTCACATTTCCCCCTATTAAGAATGGTGATTGCTGAGCCCTTATCTCTGTTAAACTGCCAGCTGTGACTTGTGTGTGGAGGGAATCCAGGATCACAGATAGTGGGGCCAAAGGGAGTGGGAGGGGTCAAGGGTCTAGACTCAGGCCTGTCCCTCCCTTCACTTGTCATGCAAGGTTTAGAATCCCATTGGAAAAAGAGCTGTCTCTAGCTAGGGCCTGAGTTCAGATTCCAGCTCTTCCACTGATTAGCTGGGATCTGGGAAAGTCATTTCCCTCTTTGGACCTTGGTTCTATATAATGGAGGGCCACCTAGGCCTTTTCGCTACTAAATCCAAGGACTTCAGGTTTTCCTTTTGCAAACCTTTAAAATGAGGATAAAATTTTACTTGCACCCTGCCTAGTTCCCAGAAGTGGAATAGAAACTGGGAACACCTTATATGCAAAATATGTTCATGGAATGATGAAAAGACACTTGGGTTCACAAATTGAGATCTTGATTTTGGTTCCAGGTCTGCTTTAAAAAAGACACTTATCCTTAAACACCCCTCCCCCTTAGACTTTCATAAAGTATGTGATAATAACCAACTTTAGACTTTAAAAGGATGTTATGGGGATAAAAACTAAGCTAATCATTGTGATGTAAATGCTTTTGGAAAAATTATAAGCCCCCTAAGAATGGTGAGGTAAAGAGTAGTGTCTCATTTATTTGGCATTTGGGGGGAACGGGAACAGAGACTTAGCTCTAGTAGTACCTAAACTTTTTAAAAAATCATTTTTTAATGAAAATCTTACTAAAATGAATTCTGTCTTTAAGCCCTTCCCCCATACTAATCATCATTTCATCTTTTCTCACTGAAACAGGATCGTGATCCTATGACAGTCTTAAGTGTGTTTGCTCTTATATGAAATCCCCCCCCCCCATTACCAGCTATGTTTTGAGTTATTTGGGCTAGGAAACTAGATAAGCAAGCCTGTTAGAATTGTGTCTAAAAGAAGGGGCCCAAAGAATCTGTACAGGAGTCAAGTTCATGAGCTTGTCAGGACTTGGGTGGGTCAGACAGGCTTTTTTAAAATTTCTGGGTTTTTGGTCACGTTTTGGAAAGTCAAGGTTGTCTTTCTATCCCTAGCTTGGTGTGCAATGAAGTGGGGTTGATTCCTACCACCTGAATGGATGCTAAAAGCAGTTATGCTGTTTTATTTTATTTTATAAGGTTTATTTTTTTTAAATCCCATTTTCTGTTTGAGAGATGTAGGAGTAATATGACCTGGCACAGAGATACGGAAACATAGAAAACAGGAATGAGAAAAAGCCAACAAGTCGAGTGTATTACCTACCATTGACAATGACATGTTAGAACTTCTCTGGCACTGGTTGGGTATGCACATATCCTGGGGCCGTGTGTGGCAAATTGCTTCCCCTTCTTCTGGAGTTAAGCAGTGCCTGGAATGGAGTGATTGCACTTTTCAGGGGCACTTACCTTTGTTCTGATCATATCTGAATTCCCTACACTGGGCATCTTAGGAACAATGTACCATTTAGGGAAAATACCATTTGTCTACTATGTGCTGGCCGTCTTGGGGTTCTCTAGCCCTCCTTCAGAGCTAAGACGCAGGAGAGCCACTTTTACTTTAGGCCTGATGCCAGCCTTATAAAGTGATCTCTAGAGGAAAGGCTAAGCAGTATTCTCTGGCAGTAACTAAAACCTAGGCAGAGGAAACTTGGCTAATGCACAGACACTGAAATCCGGGTGCAGATCTCTGCTTTGAGCCAAGGCACTACCTCCTTACACCTCATACTAAAGAGAATGGCTTTCTTTCTTTTTTTTTAGGGAAGTACTTTTCTGATGGAAAAGCGTCTGTCCAAGATTTCCTGTAGGATTTGGGGTAAGGGAGAGTATTCCCAGAATAAAATTATTCTTTCCCTTTTTTTTTTTAAATACTGGAATGGTTCTTAGAAAATATTTTGAGGCCTTTAACTTAGGTATGGTAAGAATAGGACAATAGAAGTGCTTATCAATTTTGGTGCAGTTATCACTGATGATTTTTGAGAAGAATACTGCTAGCATTTACATCACAGGTGGACAACACAGCTTGCTTGCTTTTCTTTCTTTCGTTTCTTTTCTTCCTCTCCTCTCCTCCTCCTTTCCTTTCCTCTCCTTCTTCTTTCACAGGTG